TAATGTGGTGACTGCTAATTCTTGTAGTAAGAACTTATTCTGTACAATTCAATATTTATGATGTGAGAATTCTCTTTATTCTGTACAATTCAGTATTTGTCAGAATTCTAGTCTAGACCCATAAAAATGCATTATCTTATTGTTAGATTTGAAAAGAAAAATAGTTACTAAGTAGCTAGAAAGTGCCATTCATCAAAAGTTGCAAAGACTTAACTGATATTTCTCTGCAACTTTAACTCTTCTGCATTGTTGCTTGATGAATATAATTGGGATGTCATGCAATCATTCTGATACAAATAACCATGGCATTTGTATTTTCTCATATACCCAGCAAAAGACCGGAACTTTCACTTCTGACAGTGAATAAATTGGCACTGTGATGTGGATTATTAACAGGAGGGTATAGATAATTCATTACAAATGCTCATGTCAGCATAAACGCTATGATTAATAGGCAACTACCTGTTTTGTTTTGTTTTGTTTTGTGTGGGGGGACTGTTGGGGCTGAAATAGTCAAAATATGAACTACTGTCTTACAAAGCAATAGATATTTCTCTAAATGTGGGTGTTAAATATATATTTTCAACTTGCTTCAGTCTGTGATAAAACCATCATTTATAAGCCACACTAAAATAACAAATGATGAATTAACAGACTGGAAATTTCCTTCAGTTTTAAAGATGGCCTGCAAAGATAAGGAACTCAATTTCAGTAACTTCCCTATCATATCGGATTGATCCCAATATCCAGGCTGAGAGTGGAAATCAGCACATTAAAACCTTTCTTTTCTCTCCCTCCTCCCTCTTCTTTCTGATCCTTTAAAATCTAACCTTGCTCCTGCGTAAAGGGACATTGACAACAGGCTATCCAGCTATCCTAAAACTCCACAGAAGCCAGTCTATAGAGAATTAAGTATGTTCCTTATTTGATGTGTTATGTTTGTTTTATTTTTGTGGTTTATTTTTGAAAAAGAAATGGAAAAATGAAAAAAGGGCCTTCAGGACAGTTCTATGCACCTACCTAATGCTGCTCAAGTGCTGATATCACAAGTCAGCATTCATTGAACTGTTGTATATGGACAAGAACCAGTAATCATTGGGTCAGAAAGAAGGCAAATTATAGCAATGCTGCCTTCCTACTATTTCCACAGTTTACTTGATTTTTATCCTGACATCCATACGCGGGTAAATATACAACACTACAAAGTATACTGAAATAACTTTTGAACTCCATATAATGTAATTGTGTGGCTGTGTATATTTTGACATGTGAAGATATTGCACCATGTTGCTATACTGCATTGTAAGGTATCACTATTATCACTATGACACTGTTAATATAAATGTCACAACATGATTAGACATGATTTAGTCCAGTCAGATAATGTCCTGTGGAAACCCCCACTAAAGGAAATGTTAATGAGGATTATCACTCAACAGTATTTCTAGGAACTTCAGGACTATCCCATGACTGATAAAATAGCCTGACATGTTCACGGGTCCTAAAATCACTAGTAAGGCGTATGAAATGTCATTGCATCATAAGGCTGCATTATGGAACAATGACTTTCTAATGCACAATTATGAAATTATGTTTCATCATGACAGGCATATGTAAAATTACTGACCTGGAAACAAATCACAGAACTGAGCCCTACATTGCACATCAAGGTAAAATTATTGAAATGTGGTATCTGGTTATGAGCAACAGTGAGATATTGATTTTAAAATCTAATTTTAGAGTAATAGAGGAAGAACCATAAAATGGGTGTTCATTGTGTTATTTACATAAAATGAGTGTGTATGGCATCTTACTATTGTTATTGTAATAGTACCTGAAGGCCCCAATGAACAATGTGTTTTTCAAACACAGCATGAAGGAGTCCTTGCCATAGGAAATTTATAATTTTAATAATTAAAGTTGTAAGTAAAATAGACAGAAGAACTGGGGGAGGGTAAACTTGCATTCATGTAAGCTAGTTTGTATGTCGATTGAGTCAAGCCTATTTTTAATTATAAAATATAGAAAGCAGATGATTGAAATAAATCTCAGAAGTATAAAGTAGGACAAAGTCCCAGACTAGAGAATTTTATAATCTAGTATAAATAGGTAACACAAGTAAATACTGCATCAACACAAGCAAGTGAATCAGTGGACTGATTTCAGGAGAAGGAGAAATCTCTTGTGGGAGCATTTTATCCTCTTTGTGTGTGAGGGAGCTCTGGAGTTGTGATTTAGACCTGTCACATGATCTCTTAAAAGTAGACCTATTTGCTTAGGTGTGGAAGTGTTAGTGAAGGATACCAGCACAGAGGCTAGCTAACATAGGTTGAGAGTAGAGTTGCCAATCTGGTATTTTCGCCTCCTGTCCAGTAAAAAAAATTCAGAAAATATCAGACATGTAAAATGTCTGGTATTTTCTATTTTTTTTCCCTGCCAGGAGGCGAAAATACCGGACACCTGGCAACCCCATGACATACACAGCAACTCTCCTCCCTCCCCCCACCTAGTTCTGCAGGGGCTTATCTTGTGACTGGAAAGAAATATAAAATGGCTGACGGAGCCTGTTTCCAGGGCAGAGGTCTGTATGTACAAACAACTATACAGTATCCAGTTGAAAGAAGATAAAGCCTTCCAGCATCTGCTATCTGGTCTAGTACATTGTAATTTGGGTGACTATCAATTTCAGACCTGTGAAGATTTAATAATCCAGTGTATAGTAGCTCACATAAGGCTGCAGTTGTCATGGAGGTTGCCAAAGTAATGGATTCCATGACTTTCCACAACCTTCATCGCTTTTGCAGCTGTAGTGGTTGGTGTGGCTGACTTCAGGGCCACTTGCTGCTGCTGCAGCAGCCATGGGGCTAGCCACTTATATGGCACCCTGGGCCAGCTGCATCATTGACTGATTGGGTGGTCAGTCCCTGGGCCCAACCACACTGGTCACTGTTCAGGCAGTACTGGGACAGCTGGCCCAAGTGGTGACTGCAGGGTGGCTGACTCTGAGGCTGCTACTGCGTGGGCATCTGCAGGGCCATATGCTGAGCAGCTGCTGGAGTGGCAGACCCCAGGGCCTGCTGCTGGAGGCTAGATATTTGGACAGATCCTGGAGCCAGTCACCCTGGGCCCATTACTGAGTGCTTCACAGAGACTATTGCTGTGGACATGGCTGGGCCAGATCTGCGGCAGATGTGCCGAATGTTGCCTGAGTAGTGGCCATGGCTGCTGCCTTTGGGACTGCCAGAGCAGCAGCAGTCCCGGGGCTATGCTGGAGGTGTTCAAAGTAGTAGTCCTTGGGGCCTTGGAGAAGCAAGTGGCTGTAGTAGTCTGCCCTCCCTACCCCGCAATTCAGGGGCTAGCTGTCAGTTCCTGCCGTTCCTGCCCCCCCTTTCTCCCCACCACCTTGGTGTGGAGATGCTCTCCAAAGCAGCAGCAGCACCACCACCACCACAAGGCCTTACATGCCACTAAGTTTGTCAGCAGCAGAGGTGAAAGGAAGGGGCTGTGGCTTGGAGCACAGTTCGGGAAAGAACTGGCTGAACTGCTGCGAAACCAGAAGAGAGCTATTTAAAGAGCTGGCAGGGAATCAGGGTGTGACT